AACCCGGCCCTGCCTGCATGTATAATATATAAATATAAGCAGAGAAGAAGATGGAAGTTATAAATAATCTTAGTTATTATTCTTATACTAAACTAATAAGAGATTAAAATAAAAATCTATATTTTTTTAATGGACCCAGTAAATTTATCATTGTAACCATGGAAACCATCCCATCTAGTTAAACTTCTCAGCATCCCTCCATCCTTTCTTTAACAGATCAATCTCTCAGATCAGCTCCAGTTAATCTCAGTTTTAATCTCATTAATCTGGAGTTATCGCTGCTCCTTTGATGTGCGCCGCCTGGCTGCATGAAGTAGGCGGAGCTGCAGAGAGGAAGAGATGCTGCAGAGGAAACCAGCGCGCAGCAGCCAGGAACACCCGCCGAACCGAACCGAACCGAACCATCAGACCCGCTCAGCAGATGGAGAGGAAGGACGGAAGCAGAGCGACCGGCGGCGCGTGGAGCCCGGATCCAGCCGCCACTTCCGGTTCTGATGCTGCGGACAGGTGGGCCTCAGAGCATCAGACTGGACCGGATCCAGCGGTTCCGGGTTCATCCAGAACCGCGGAGATTCTGGACCGGTTCTGCTCTCCGCTCTCATCTTTTATTGATTTACTTCCGTTTATTGATTGAAAAGGTTTGAAGGAGAAAAGGTTCTGCTTCCGGTGGTTTCCGGTCCATCTGCTCTGGGTTCCGGCTCTGACCCCCCCTCCCCCCTCCATTAATAATGAACATAACGGGTTAATAAATGATTTAATCTGAAAGCGGCTCGCGCGCCTCTGCACCTCAAACCGGAAGTGATGACGTAGAGCATCAGATCTGACTGATTATTAATCCTGATCTTATTTATTCTCCTCTCAGGTGGAAATGATCAGAATAATTAAACTTTATTAATCTCACTGTGGAGAAATTCCCTCTCTGCATTCAACCTCTAGATTCATAGCTCTATGCTCTAACCACTAGGCCACCCCTCCCCCCTTACTGTGACACAGAAATGTTCACATAGATCCTCTGAGCTGATCTCATTTAGGTTTGGCCCCATGAGGGCCCCATCCTGCAGGAGAACGGCCCTGTAGACCAGATCTGACTGATCTCTGTTTATTCCCTGGATCATTGATAGCTGCTGGTGGTACGGGGTTGGAATGAAGCCACCGGCCGCCATATTGGTACTCCCTAGTCAGACTGGTCTCAATATAAACAATCAGTGCGCTGCAGCATCGAACAACCATGATGTTCTTATTTTCAGGGACTGAAAACTTTTAAAATAGAGATAAATTCATCAGTTTGACGCAGACTGTTTCGCAGCATCAGTAGATTAACTTTAACTTAGAATAAATAAATCAGCCAATCACATCGCAGAGTCATTATGACGTCTATAAATCATTTAATATAAAATATTATACAAATAAATCACAATAACATTAATGTGTTAATAATAATACAAAGTGATAAATTAATGATGAACATGTGATATAAATGGATTTATTGCGTTGCTATAGTAATTACATCTTACATATTATTTCAATATTTTACATAAAGATTAAATTATAATTTTGTTTCCTTTATTGCTGCAGTATTTTCCTCCTGAATGAAGGATCCTTCCTCTGAGGAGAGGAAATAGATCCGCTTCACCAATGGATGTCTGCCTCTGAGCGTCATTCATGAATGATTTATAGTGATGGTCTGATCTGGTTAACCTTTATCTAGACGGCATCACCTGCTTCTAGTCAGATCGGTTCTACAGTCACAGTCAGAATGATGGTTTGTTCCTCTAAGATTCTCTCAGATCCTCCTGAAAAAGCAGGAAATGAGTCAAACTTGGTTTTACCTCCAGTTTCCAGGCTGATCATGAAACAGATTTTCTTTCTATGATGTTACTTTATGTTTTATCTGCTGCAGCGATTTGGACAAAATAACTTTAAAAAACGGATTTATTTTCAAAGGGATGAAACTGATTAAATCAATCAATTAATTAACCAATCAATTAATTAATCAATTAATCAATCATGAACCTCTTAAACAGCAGAGCTCAGCTGACAAGCTAAGCTAAGCTAACCAGGCTGCTGCATCCTGAGCTACGGCAGCCTTAAAGGACCAAATCAGGCAAATTCCACTTTCTTTTAGCCACTAAGGACATTTCACTTCTATTTACTTTATTTCTATAGCTCCAATTCACATCATGTCATCTCAGGTCACTTTATAGATCCAGATCAACCAGATCATCCAGTCAGATTGATCTGGATCTATAAAGTGACCTGAGATGACATGATGTGAATTGGAGC